GCGGGCACGGGGCCGCGGCGCGAAATCTCGATGTTCGGGGACGAACGCCCCACGCGGTGTCGGAAACCATCGTCCGACGACGACGACGACGACGACGACGACGCCTCGCGAGGCGTCGTCGTCGTCGTCGGCGTTCTGGCTCGATCGATCGCGATCGGCGTTCTGGCTCGATCGAGCATGTTGGGCTATTTCGAGGCCACTAGGAAGGTCAACCTTCCTCCGCGCGCCCAGTTGGCGCGCTTCCGCGGGGCGCGCGCGATGGCACCCTTCGTGGCCAGCTCGGCTGCGCCCACGCCGCAGCCAGAGACGGCGCAGGAGACGGCCTCGCCGCCGCCAGAGACGGCGCAGGAGACGGCCACGGAGGCCATCTCTACTCGTCGTCGTCGTCGTCGTCGTCGTCGTCGTCGTCGGCGGCGTCGTCGGCGGCGTCCTCCCCCGTCGTTCCGGCACCGATGGCGACAACGATGACGACGACTACGACGACCACCCATGGGTGGTAGTCGTAGTCGTCGTCGTCGTCGTCGCCGCCGCCGCCGCCGCCGCCGTCGTCGCCGTCGTCGCCGTCGTCGTCGTCGTCGTCGTCGTCGTCGTCGTCCAGGCTGCCGACGACGGCGCGACGCTGGTGCCCGCGAACGAGACGCTCGAGCAGGCGTTGGCTGGTGTCGTGGACCGCCGCCGCCCCGCGCGGAGGGGGGGCTCAGGGGTGGGGGGCTCGCCGACCCCCCCCGTCGTCGACTATCTACTCATCGGATCGATCTTCGGAAACTCATCGAAACTCATCGGAAACTCAAACTCATCGAAACTCATCGGAAACTCATCGGAAACTCATCGGGAACTCTTCGGAAACTCTTCGGAAACTCATCGAAACTCATCGTAAACTAATCGGAAACTCATCGAAACCCATCGGGAACTCATCGTGAACTCTTCGGAAACTCATCGAAACCTCATCGGAAACTCGTCGGAGACTCATCGGATCCCAATCGGAAGATCCCGATGAGCTCCCGATGAGCTCCGATGGGGCCCTGGACGGGGCCCTGGATGCATTCCTGGAGGGAGTTTCGGTGAGTTTTGAATCAGCAGCGCCCCGATCTATGTGTCCGTAAACGTTTTGGCTCCACAAGTTCAGTGGGCACCAGCTGCCAGATGCCATACCCGACGCTCGGCCCTATCCGACGATCGGCTCTACCGTATGGCTGATGATGGCGCCAGCGACGGGTCCGAGTCGACGACCCGCGCCGTGTGCACGGACGTGGAGTTGCTGACCAAGGTGCTGCGCCCTGTCATGACGAAACCAGATTTCGTGGTGTACAAGAGCGACCACTCCTCCTTCCCTGTGTCCAGCGACCAGGCGCCCTTAAGTGCCGACGCTGCGGTGCTCGTCGCGCAGTCGATCAGGCAGCAGGCAGCGCCGAACTTGAGCGTCGGCAAGGTCGCGTGCGAGAACGCGATCGAGTTCTTGGTCACCGAGAAGGCGAGGACAGGAAAGCCGCCCTGGAGTTTGTTCGAGGGCGATTCCAAGAAGCGCTACGTGAGGGACATGACGGCTAGGGTGCGCACGCTGTGCATGCACGCGGGGTCCTTCTACCGCCGCAAGCTCGGCCCCCCTCAGTGGTACAAGGCCGTCATCGCGGAGCAGGGCTACACCGACGGCATCAACCTGAACGAGGATCAGGACGAGGAGGAGGACGACGCGGACGAGGAGGACAGCGCGCCCGTCAGGCGAAGGCCGTCAATGCGAGGAGGTTCAGCGGCAGGGGGCGAGGACGAGCCCGAGGGCACGGGGGCCGCGAAGAAGAGGCCCGCCGCGGCCAAGCCTGCAGGTGACAGAGCAGGTTCCGAGGTGCAGTACGTCTACAAATTCGACGAGAACAAGAACTCGGCAGTGCGCATCCAACCGAGCACGCGGCGGGTGGAGCTTTGCGACAGCTCGCGGTCATCCGACCAGGGCGGATTCATGGTTGCCACGTGGGCCGATGGGGAGGAGTGGCGCTACCCAGAGGCGCTGCATCAGCAGAAGGAGAAGCCGAAGAGCGCCAAGAGTGGACTTCCTTCTAAATACTTACCTGACGGCTCAAAGGTCTACGTCGAGCTGAAGAGAGATCGGGATCCGAACCACAAGCTCATCCTCATCATGCGCAAGCTCAAGGACGGCACCAAGGAGCAGCAGACGCAGGCGACCACCAGGCACTTCGACAACGAGGAGCATGACGTCAAGGTGATGACCGAGCGGATCTTAGAGATGTTCGTCCGCGACCCGAAAACTACGAAGCAGCAGGCGATGGCGGCGAAGATGGACCTCGTCAAGGAGATCGAGAAGACTGTCGAAGCGATCTGCCAGAAGGAGGCCGAGAAGTTGGCCAAGCAGGAGGCCGATGCGGCGGCGGCGCCCAAGCGGGGCGCTGCAGCTCGCAAGAGGCCCGCCGCCGCTAAGCCCGCCAACGAGGAGGCGGCGGCCTCCGACGCCGAGGCGGCGTCGGGCCACGACATGGGCGAGAACGCCGAGGCGGCTTCGGACGGGGAGGTCTACACGGCAGGAGAGGGGGAGGCAGACGCTGCTGCAGGAGGCGTGCCGTCCACTCCCGAGCAGAAGGGCAAGGGCAAGAAACGCGCCGCACCAGGCAAGATCTCGACTTCGAAGGTCCCCATCCAGCGCATCGGCATCGAGAAGGGCATCACGGGCGCCAAGGCTTCCAAGTCCGCGCAGGGCACCTCCCCGCAGACTGCCATCAAGGGGCCGACGGGCACGCTCATGGGGGACGCGCGCAAGCAGCTGGCGGAGGATGACTCGTCAGACGGTGCCGAGTAGACTGACGGGCTCCGACTTCAGAGAGCCACGATCGGAAAACATGTAGCCCACTCCGCCCTGGCCTCTCGGACCCCCGCCCTCCGCGGCGATCCGACTCCCTCGACTCAGCGATTGCGGGGGTCGCGAGGATAACTCAGCGCATGACGCGACGTGGCAGTGGAGATAACCGCGGCGAGTTTCCGAGGTCGCGAGGATAACGTTGCGCATGGCACGGCGTGGAAGCGGAGATAATCGCGATGAGTGTCCGATGAGTTCCCGATGAGTTTCGATGAGTTTTCCCCTCGGCTCCGATGCGTTTATCGATATGTATATATATGTATGTGTGTGTCGGCGAGCCCCCCACCCCATCGCCTGATATGGGAAACTTCATTGTCGGCGTCGTCACGTCGTTGTTTATTGTTATTCTTGTTATCGCGTCAACATCTGACATCCTACCCCTCCCTCCCATCCCTTCCCATTGCGCTACTTAATTGTCCTCTCACCGAATCGGGTGTCGCATCTGACCCTCATGCATAGCAAGAAGAGGAAGGATGCCTAGGGCGTTGCCCACGGCGGGTTCTCCTGGAGGCCTGGCACCTCGGGCTGCACTCGGCGGGCGGGTTCACCTGCGGGCCTCAGTCCTCGTGCGGGTTGCCCTCGGCGGGCGGGTTCTCCTGCGGGCCTGGCACCTCGTGCGAGTTGTTGGGGTCTGTCGCCTCAAGCGGGTCCTCTGGGGTGTGGGGCGACAAGAGCGGGTCCTCTGGCGTCGGTGGGATAATGGTGTAAGTGGGTGACGTCATCACGCCACTGGCCCAGCGCCTCAAAGGCCTCGCGGGGCTCTCGTCTTGCTCCTGGAGCGCCGAAGCCTGCGAGCGCGGGCTGCTCGTGTCGGGGTCGAAGCTGCCGCCGCTCTTGCTCTTGCCCTTGCCCGTCAAGCTGTCGCCGCTCTTGCCCTTGCCAGTCGAGCTGTCGCCGCTCTTGCCCTTGCTCTTGTTCTTGCCCTTGTACGTGAGCAGATCTGCCGCCACCACGTCGGCTTCTGTGATGTCGTCGGTGTAGCGCTTGTCGTGCAGCCACGATGGGAGACGGCTCAAGAGGCTAATCTCGTCCTGTGACAAGATGCTGTGCTTGTCCTTGCCCTTCTGCTCGTCGCTGTTGCCCTTGCCCTTCTGCTTGCCCTGCTGCGCGTCGTCGTCGCCCTTCTGGCCGTCTGTCACGAACTGGCAGGGCTGTCCGAGCTTGATCGGGCAGCTTTCACTTGGCCTCCCAGAGACACCCTGGTAGACTCCGCAAATCAAGCATGCGAGTGCCGAGCTTGATGCCGACCGTGATGCCGACCGTGGGCAGTGGCCGTCGTTGGGGCCGTCGCCGTCGCCTTCGTTGGGCCCGTCGCCCGTCTGGCTCTTGAGCACTCTGCGGTATTTGAGCGCGTGCGGGCTCCAGGGCTCCATATCAGGCGCGCGTGGGGCCCAGGGATCTAGTAGCCGAAATAGATACGGACGGCAGGCTCCGCACCGAGGCGAGAGCGCCCCCTCGGAACGGCCGAAGACGGTCCGAGTGGCCTCCAGCGGTCGCTCGGGACGATGCGGGCGCCCTCAGACTTGCCTCCAGCGAGGCGCGGCAGTGGGGGGGGGCACCGAGACATCCTCGATCCTCGATTCTGTGTTTCGGTTGTTGCCTTTCGGGGCCTCCTGGACCCCCTCGCGCCTACGGCTGGATCCGCCTCGCAATTCAAATCGAAGCGCCCTCCTGGGAAACAACTCGAGCCTCGATCCTCCATCATCGACTCTCGAGTTTGACGGCCGCTTCGGGCCTCGAGGGGCCCCCTCGTGCCTACGGCTGGGTCCGCCTCGAAATTGAAATCGACGCGCTCCTCGGGTAAAAAAACACCTCGGGTCTCGATCCTCGATCCTCGACTCTCGAGTGTTTCTGTCGTGGTGGTAGTATTGATGGAGGGGAGGGAGCATCCCCCTCGCCGATACAGGACGGCCTGCACGTCGAGGACTTGCCCGACCGCCAGGACAGCTGGTCAGAGCGCTGGGTCCACAGCACGGACGGTGCAGTCGAAAGCTGCCGTGGGAGGGGGTGAGGTGGCGAGGAAGGAGGTGAGGGTTAGGAGGTTGATGAAGGGGGAGGGAATGAGGAGTGAGGAGGAGATGTGGAGGGCTGAGACCGCCCCTTCCTCCCGCCCGATACTCGGGTGGGGGGTTCGGACATGGGTGCGTGGGAGGAGTCGTGGCGACGGTGGTTTTCGCCGTCGGCAGGACACCCCGCGTGCGGATGAGGGCGCTGATGCACCGCCTGAATCATCGTCGGCGGCAGCGGCATCGTCGGCAGGACCAGCGCTGGACGGCGTGGCGAGCATCGGCCTGCAGCAGGCGAACCTCGGGGCCATCGGCCTGGCCCAGGCCGACACCGCCGCGCCGGGCATCACGCAGATCGACGGGGCGGCGATCGGGCTGGAGCAGGCGAACCTCAAGGGCCTCGGCATCAGCCAGCTGGGCGACACCGCCGGGGGGCCGAGCGGGGCGTCGCTAGGCGTCTCGCTGCCTGAGAACCCGTCCGAGGGCTCAGGCGGGCTGCAGCTCGGCTTCCTGGCGAAGAGGCCCAACGAGTTGGCGAAGGGCTGCGAGACGCCGCCCGCGACCAGGGCGCAGGACAGCCCCGACGACGAGCAGCCCGATAAGGTGATCGAGGAGGCGTGGAGGACGAGGATCGCGAAGTCGAGGACGGCGATTGCCAGCAAGTACGACCGCTTCAAGAAGGGCAGCGCAGAGGAGCAGGCGAAGTACAAGAATGCGCAGGGCCACATCGGCAAGGAGAACTGCATCCTCGAGTGGGTCGACAAGCAGTGGAACGCCTACCAAGAGCGCAGGTTGGGAGCGACGACGACGACGACAACGATGACGACGACTACGACGACCACCCATGGGTGGTCGTCGTAGTCGTCGTCGTCGTCGTCGCCGCCGCCGCCGCCGCCGCCGACAGGTCTAAGAGGAAGACCAACACGGAGGCCCACCTGGAGTGGGGGACCCACGAGCCGTTCGAGGTCATCGCAGGCAAGGAGTCGGGGGTCGGCATCACAGAGACGGGGGCGATGGCGGCACTGAACACAGTCTTGGCGTGCCAGAAGCTGGGGTACCCCTGGGTGCAGTGGAACAGCTTCACCAAGCGCGCCGAATACCTCTACTGCAAGTCGGGCTTCAAGAACAAGTTCGAGACGGCGTGGACGCAGTACCAGGAGCAGACGGGCGTGCAGGACGACCTGGCGCTCGACTTCCTGAAGGGGGGGGGCACGACACGCTGGGCGGTGGCCAGCCGAGCCAGGCTCAGACGGGCGCAGTCGCGCAGCAGGAGAGCGAGGCCAAGCAACAGGCGGCGGACGAGAAGAAAGCCGCCGACGTTGCCAAGCAGAAGGAGGCGGAGGCGACGAAAGCAAATGAGGCGGAGGAGAAGCAAGCAAAGGCGGCGGAGGCGAAGGCTAAGGCAGCGGTCAAGGCCGCGGCACGGAGCACCAAGCGGACGAGGGGCGACCGCGGCGGCACGGCGACGCCGCCACCTGAGCCAGCTGGTGACGACGCTCCCCACCCGAAGCAGGCCAAGAAGGACGCGAAGAAGAAGCTCGACGACTTTCGCACGCTGATCAGCCTGTACGGACAGGAGCTCACGTCTGGCAAGATGATCTTGCGCAACATCGGCACGGTGGCATCGTGGGAGCCCTTGGCGGACGAGAGGATGAGCGGTGATCTCCGCAGGGCAGTCGAGGCGCTGGAGAACACGAGCACCACCAACGCGCTCGCGGCGCAGCTGGTGACGCAGAAGTTTGACGCAGTGAGGGCATACGTCGGGGAGGCAGATTTCGACAAACAGATCGACCAGATCACGTCGATCCTCAAGCCCAAGGTGGATAAGCTGAACGCAGAGGTCGACGCCTTGAACCAGATGCACGCTCTGGTCGTGAAGAAGGCACAGGGCGGCAGGTAGTCGGAGGCAGACAGCACGACGGCCTCTTGACGAGGCCTCGAGGCCTCTTGACGTTCGGCTGCAGTGCCGACCAGGCCTCTTGACGAGGCCCGCCGACCAGTGCCGCGTAGTTAAGGAGGGGAGAGTTGGGAGGAGAGGAGGAGGAGGAGGAGGAGGAGGAGGAGGAGGAGGAGGAGGAGGAGGAGGAGGAGGAGGAGGAGGAGGAGGAGGAGGAGGAGGAGGAGGAGAGGAGGAGGAGGGAGAGGGGGGAGTGGAGGCGAGGAGGAGGAGGAGGAGGAGGAGTGAGAAGGGGAGGAGGGTGGAGAGGGGGAGGGGGAGGGGGAGTCCCCATTGGGGGAAGGGGGAGGGGAAGTACGGGGGGGAGGGAAGGGAGGAGGTGGAGGTGAAGGGGACGGCAAACCAGAAGCTGGCGGCGGGCCCGCGATTCGGGGTACACTGAACAGCCTGCTGCGGTGAGACAGCAAGCGCTGTGTAGGGAAAAGCTCGATCGGATGCGAAAATCTCGGATCGGATGCGAAAATTCTGAACTCGAACCCGATCGGACCGAACAATTCGGGCCCGACCGCGATCGGAGGCGACGAAACCACCGATGAAATACCGGTGAGTTTCCGGTGAGTTTCCGATGAGTTTTGATGAGTTTCGCTCAAACACTATAAATTCACAGGGATTGTAGCGATGAGTTTCCGATGAGTTTCCGATGAGTTTCAGCGCCACTCCGATCGCGGTCGGGCACCCCCCGTTTCGGTTCGGAGACGCCTCGGGTGGTCAGTTTCGGTTTCGGGTGCGCTTCGGGTGGATCTGGCACGGGCCCGAGGGGTCGCTGCGGCACCTCGGCGAGGCGCAGCTGTCCGTGGAGCGCCCGTTTCGGTTTCCAGGGCGTCTTGGGGGCGCTGGTACGGGCCCGACGGCTAGTAGTTGCAGCGCCAGGGGGCGGGGTGCAGGGGCCCGTAGGGTTCGGCTCGAGGGCGGGCTCCCAGTTCCCAGGATACACGCGCCAGGTGTCGTAGCACCATGGCTGGGGAATCGTGGGGCGAAGACTGGCAGGCCGAGCAATTGAGAGCAGCTGAACGCAAGCAAGCAGGCAATGACTTGCTTAATTATATTCTTGCCATGTATGCAGGGTCGAGGCCAATGACAGCAAAGGACGCTTGCATCATAAGCTGGTTCGCTAAGGAAGCTGGTTGCGAGGGCGGCGTGTGTGACCTCGCTCTGCACCCGAAAAACACAGGCGGCACGTATCAGAGAAAAATGGACTCAACGATTCCCCGAAAGCAAGATAGCGATTACTACTGGTTGGACATTCCAATATATCAGAAAGGTGTTGGTAGGACAACCAAGAGGATCCCCATGCTGCCATTGCATGAGTCGTTGCAACACGAGTGTGAAACTACTCGGTCCCTGGACCCTGGGCCCCTGACAAATGATGCGGATTTTCAGGAGTGGCAGCAAATATACAGGTGGCACCCTGGCGTTCGCGCGTGCAGGCCAGATGTCCCGCTTTTGTTATCGCTGTACGCCGATGGTATTCGTTTCACTAGGAGCGAGCGAACTGGAAAAGCAGACTCGCTGCTGGGTTTCTTTATGCATTTAGTACCGCAGTCGCGGAGACATTCGGTCGCATTCTTAAGGAAATCTGAATTCTGCAGGTGCGGGTGCCGAGGGTGGTGTAGCCATTACCCTGTCATGCTCGTGATAGCATGGTCGATGCGGGCGTTGATTGACGGCCGATACCCCTCGGCCATGCACGACGGCTCACCGTTTGTCACGGGTGATCACAGGGGTGATTTGGCGGGCATGCCTCTCAGGAAAGGCGTTGTGGTTTGGATGAAAGGCGACTTAATGGAGCAGGCTGTCACGTTCGGTTTGCGGGGTTTGGGCAGCATGTTTTCCCCGTGTTTTATGTGCAATTCGCTGCTCGAGAATTTACCTGACTATGACCCTGTTGAGTTGGACAGTGACCACTGGGGCCAGAAGTCAGATTTGGATGATTACGAAGTTTCCTGTCAGCGGCTTGAACACGTCGTTGTGCTTCACACCGAAGCCGATCGACTTAAGGCGACACCGACGCGCAAGCGCGGCCACGCAAGGTGGCCCCCGAGAGCGCGCGGTCGCGCCACGGAGCGCGTGTGGCGGAGAGGGTTGCGACGGGGTGGTGGGTGGTGGCGTTCTCGGGGGTTGCCCGCCGCGGTCGCGCAGGCGCGTCGGTTTCCGACAAGGTTTTTACTGAGGGTAGGCTGTACTGGGATCGGCGGAAATCTGGATCCCGTGGGAGGGCGCTCCTAAACGATGTTCCGTCACTAGGTCTCAAAGCTGGTGATCGATTGACGCCGTCCGAGCAATTGTGCGATATCGGCGATTTCTCCGCTGCCTCGTTGCCCCTGGTCGTGAGGTTTTGGCGCGCGACCTATCGCGGTCAGGCTTGTATGGACCCACTGCTGAATCGCAACCCAGCGTTTTCGCCCGCCCTGTATACGTCACCATCCCTCACGTTCGCGTTAGACGTGCTCCACAATATGTACCTGGGAGTCCATGGCCGTTGTATATCCGCAGTGACCTGGGCAATTCTGGATGTGAATGTTTTCGGGATCCCAGGGCCTCATCAAGACGTCGTTGTCCCAGCCTCTCTGGAGCGGCTCTCGGGCATGCTGAACGATTGGTATGACGACACGGATGTGCCGCAAAACTACAGAGTGCATGAGCTATCAGTGAGTATGATCGGCACGAGGGACTTCCCAGGGCTAAAAACAATGGGGTCCGAAACAAACGCGATCCTCCCATGGGCTTTCCATTTGTGCGAGACGTTTTCTGCCAGCATGGGGAAAGGGTTTGCGCTCACTGAGGCGTGCAGAAATTTGCTGGCGTCCATGCAACTCCTGAAGGCATCACCCACCATCGTCGATAGGGAGACGGGGTCCATGCTGCTGGACCTGCGCAAGCAGCACAACCATTACATGGCAGAAGCAGACGTCCCCCACTTGTTCAAAAAACATTTTTTTGTACACCTCGTGCGCCGTTCCTTGAGGCACGGCAACCCGCTTCGGTGCGCCACGTTTCTGGATGAATCGTTGAATCTGCCAGCGGCAGTGGCTGCCTCGAGCGTGCATCGGTCAAATTGGGAGAAACGGCTCTTTGAACGCGTGTCGTTGCAGGGGAATATGGCGGTTGGCCAGCATCGTTTTTCCTACGGCGGCGGGGCGTAGCCAGCCCCTCGCCATCGCGCGGGGCATGCTCGGCGCCGATGTGGCATAGGCGGTGCGATTGGTTCTCGTGAAGACATGGGGAGGGAGGGCGGGAAACACGACCACGATTCACAAACCATCCCCCCCCATCTCCCTCCGTTCGGGGTGATTCGAGGTGCGCTTGCGCGCCGACACCGCCAGACCCCGACGAACGCGGGCGCGCGTGAGGAAGCCACAAGCGAGAGCGTGACTTCTCGTCGGAGTCCCGATCACCATAGGGAGGCGACGGCTTGCGGCGTCTAACGCGTGGTGGGCCGCCCCGCTGCGTTACAGCACAGCGGTTGGTCCTCGGACCGACGCGCTGTCCGCATGGTGCTCCTCCAGTCCCCCGTGCACTTTGCATTGCGTGGTCGCACAGCGTCAAGCAAGAGCATCATTTTGAGACGGAGCCGCCCCCCACCCATGTAACCGTTGCAAACGCTTAAGAAGAATGCGCGCGGCACAAAAGCGAGAGCCCCATGTTCAAAACCAACCGCCCTCTCCCGATGAGTTTTCGATGAGTTTCCGATGAGTTTTGATGAGTTTCGGATCGGTGGCGCACATAATCGCGCTGCATGGGCACAGCGACGTCGATGTGTTTCGAGGCGGGCGCTCGGGCACTCCAGCCCAGGCGGGCTCGTGGACATGGCTTGCCCTGCCATTCGTCGAGCTTCCCAGGTGGCCTGGGCCAGCGTTGCCCGTGGTGACGTTCTGGCTCAAGCATGCGTGCATCGGCAGAGCGTTGGCCGAGTGCTGGCGCCGCGCCTGGGCCGCCCTTACCCATTGGCCATGAAGCGGCCAGCCGCTGCCATGACGAGGCCTGGCGCCGCGTCCACCGCGGTTGGCGTCCCATGTTCGTTCGAGGCGATGGCGGTGCAAGCTGGTCTCTCCGACAGCGCATCGCAGGGAGAGATCATCAGGGTGGCTGAGGCGCTGACACGGGAGTTCTGGTCGTGCCCTCGCTATGTGGACGCAGCGGAGATGTTCAGCGGAAGCGGCAGGCTCGCGCGCTGGATGAGACGGGCTGGCCTCCAGTGCCCAGAGTTCGACAAGTACGGAAGGGACGAGTCGGAGGACGTCTGCACCCTCGCTGGCATGGCCTTTGCGTGTCGGATAGTGCTGAGCATCAAGCCGAAGGGGACGCTCGTGATTGCCCCTCCGCCCCGTGAGTGGGCAGGCGACATGCTGCGCATCAACGGGAGGGACGACCTCGTCAATGGCAAGATATCGGCCGAAGGCATGGAGGCGAACGACCTGGCGCTCGCAGTCGCGCACTTCATCGCCATGTGCGTCGTGAGGGATGTGTTCTTCATCGTCGTGATGCCGTTCGACTGCCAGTCGTTCTTCGAGTACCCAGCGGTCAACAGCGCCCTGCGTCTGGGCCGCGCCGCCATCACCACGACCTACCAGGGCAATTGGCAGAGGATCTCTACGAACAAGAGGACGCTGGTGAGCTCGAACATCGCCGAGGACAAGATGGCCAGGCTTCTGTGCGAGTGCCCCCGTCCAGACTCGACCCACATCGACGAGGTCAGTTCGTGCGGGAGGGACGTCGTCAAGTGGAGCGACGGCACCTACGAGCTCAACGAGTGGACGTTCTTCTACGACGGCTTCGCGAAGGAGCTCGTGGCGGTGGTCGCGGCAGCCGCCGAGTTGCCGCATCCAGTGTTCGAGGCAGTGTTGGTCAATGACTCGGAGTCGGACTAGTGCTTGCGCCGCCCGAGAGTGCACGCTGTGCGATCCGTCGCCGATGCGGCCGCGTGCTGCAGACAGCGTGCCATC